CCCGCCTCAGCCTCCCAAAGTGCTGGGATTACAGGCATGAGCCACCACACCCAGCTGACAGATACAATTTTTTTTTTTTTTTTTCCGAGACGGAGTCTCGCTCTGTCGCCCAGGCTGGAGTGCAGTGGTGCAATCTTGGCTCACTGCAAGCTCTACCTCCTGGGTTCACACCATTCTCCTGCTTCATCCTCCCGAGTAGCTGAGACTACAGGCGCCCACCACCACGCCCGGCTAATTTTTTGTGTTTTTTAGTACAGATGGAGTTTCACTGTGTTAGCCAGGATGGTCTCGATATCCTGACCTTGTGATCCGCCCACCTCAGCCTGTGAAAGTGCTGAGATTACAGGCGTGAGCCGCTGCACCCGGCCAACAGATACAATTTTTAAATGACATCAATAGAAAGAAAGATGCCCTGGGTAGCTGGTGTGGGAAATTGCAGCAAGTCTGGAGACTGGATTGGGGTTGAGGTTTGCATTTGAAGGCGGTAGATGGATCCCCAGGACATGGAGAGTGCAGGAAGAGCAGGTCTTGGTAACCAATATGTTGTGGAGTTGGTGGGAGAGGCTGAAGATAAGGACCAAGTTCCTGGTTTGAAGAACTGGGTAGAAGCCACACACACTGGCTCATACCCATAATCCCATCAACTCCAGAGACCGAGGTGGGAGGATCACTGGAGCACTGGAGGTTGAGGCTGCAGTGAGCTAGGATTGCACCACTGCACTGCAGCCTGGGTGGCAAAGAAAGACCCCGACCCTTAAAAAATAAAATAAAATAAAATAAAATAATTGGGCAGAGGAGGGGAGGGTTGGAGTTTGCCGACCACAGGTAAGATGTGTTGTTTGGAACAAAGCATATGTAAGTGGGGGCCTGTGATGTCCAAGGGGAGACAGCCAGGATGTGACTGGATGTTTCTCCAGCCAGGAAGGGGCTGGAGTTCAGGGAGATGCCAGACAGTTGCAGCAGTTTGTAGAGTTATGTGGGTCAGGCTAGGATTAGTTTTGCTGCAGGAATAAGCAGTCCCCCTAAATCTTAAGACAATTGAGGTTTACCTAAAATCAGCCAAGCACGGTGGCTCAGGCCCGTAATCCCAGCACTTTGGGAGGCTAAGGTGTGTGGATCACCTGAGGTCAGGAGTTTGAGAACAGTCTGGCCAACATGGTGAAACCTTGTCTCTTCCAAAAATACAAAAAGTAGCCCTAGCCGGGTGTGGTGGCACGCACCTGTATTCCCAGCCATTCGGGAGGCTGAGACAGGGGAATCACTTGAACCCAGGAGGTGGAGGTTGCAGCGAGCTGAGATCACACCACTGCTCTTCAGGCTGGGCGACAGCAAGACTCCATCTCAAAAAAAAAAAAAGGTTCACCTAAAATCAAGTACAGGTTGGATGGTTCACCTCTATCTTATAGCTTCACCATCTGGCACAAGAAGCCTTCAACATACCTCAGGTGGTGAAGGTGACAAGAGGATTTATTTCCAGGCTTGGAAATGTGCCCATCCCTTTGGCCAGAAACCAGTGCAATTGGCCCCATCCTAGCTGCAAGGGAGGCTGGAAAATGTAGTCCTCCTGTGAGGCCACAGCATGGTCAACATACGCACTGTCCTCTGCCCAGGGGCAACGTGACTGAAGCTGCAGGTGGGGGAGGGGGCCTCAGAGGGAGTGTGAAGGCAGACATTGGGTCTGCAGGGTCTTCGGGTCTGACGGTAGCACATGACATGACTCCTGACCTCATTTCTCCCCTGGTCCAGGTATCACTCCTCCTTGTTTCAATCTCTTCGCCCTCTTCGATGCTCAGGCCCAAGTCTGGTTGCCCCCAAACCACATCCTAGAGATCCCCAGAGACGCAAGCCTGATGCTGTATTTCCGCATGAGGTGGGTGAAGACCCCTTTGCAAAGCTCGTCCCCTCCTGTGCTGAAGCTGGTCTGACTCTGTGCTAAGCCCCAGCTGCGTCCCTCCCGTCCTGCAGGTTTTATTTCCGGAACTGGCATGGCATGAATCCTCAGGAGCCGGCTGTGTACCGTTGTGGGCCCCCAGGAACCGAGGCATCCTCAGATCAGACAGCACAGGGGATGCAACTTCTGGACCCAGCCTCATTTGAGTACCTCTTTGAGCAGGTATGAGCAGGGCTGCGGGGGGCAAGACTATTTGTGGGAGATTTAGGGGCAGTTAAGGAGCCCCCATTTCCCTCCCTGATTCATTATAGCTAATGGGTTTCAACTCATGCCATCTGGGGATCTTTTTTTTTTTTGAAATGGAGTCTCGCTCTGTCACGCAGATTGGAGTGCAGTGGCGTAATCTCAGCTCACTGCAACCTCCATCTCCCAGGTTGAAGCGATTCTCCCATCTCAGCCTCCCAAGTAGCTGAGATTACAGGTGCCCGCCACCACCCCCAGCTAATTTTTCTATTTGTAGTAAAGCCAGGGTTTCACCATGTTGGCCATGCTGGCCTCAAACTCCTAACCTCAAGTGATGCACCTGCCTCAGCCCCCCAAAGTATGGGATTACAGGTGTGAGCCACCATGCCCAGCTAAGAGTTCAGGTTGAAGGGGAAAGAGTGCTGTGATTGATTAGTAATGTCTGTCACAGGCACAAGATTGACAAGAGGAGGGGTGTATGCTGTATATTTGGCCTTTCCAGTAAATGGTGGTCTCTCCCCTCCTCAAGGTGGTGAGATGCAGGAAATTAGAGTTCTCTGGCTAGAGCAAGCTTGTCCAACCCCTAACCTGCGGACTACATGCTGTCCAGGACAGCTTTGAATGAAGCCTGACATAAATTCCTAAACTATCTTAAAATATTCTGAGATTTTGCTGCAATTTTTTTTTTTTTTTTTTTGAGATGGAGTTTCGTTCTTGTTGCCCAGGCTGGAGTGCAATGTCACAATCTCGGCTCACTACAACCTCCACCTCCCGGGTTCAGGTGATTCTCCTGCCTCAGCTTCCCGAGTAGCTGGGATTACAGGCAGGTGCCACCACGCCTGGCTAATTTTGTATTTTTAGTAGAAGTAGGGTTTCTCCATGTTGGTCAGGCTGGTCTCAAACTCCTGACCTCAGGTGATGCGCCCGCCTCGGCCTCCCAAAGTCCTGGGATTATAGGCGTGAGCCACTGCGCCTGGCCTGTGATTTTTTTTTTCTTTTTCTTTTCTTTTCTTTTTTGTTTTTAGTTCATCAGCTATCATTAGTGTTATTGTATTTTATGTGTGGCCCAAGACAGTTCTTCTTCCAGTGTGGTCCAGGGTAGTCAAAAGATTGGATACCTCTGGGCTAGAGAGTGAACCGATTCTCACACCTCCCTTTCTGCTCAATTTCCTGTTCCCAGGGCAAGCATGAGTTTGTGAATGACGTGGCATCACTGTGGGAGCTATCGAGCGAGGAGGAGATCCACCACTTTAAGAATGAGAGCCTGGGCATGGCCTTTCTGCACCTCTGTCACCTCGCTCTCCGCCGTGGTGTCCCCCTGGAGGAGGTGGCCAAGAAGACCAGGTGTCTGGGAATGGGGTAGGGATGCTGTGTAGGCAGTGGGAAGTGTCCTGAGCATCTGGGAGCCAGGGTAGACTTCGCATATTGCCGTGCCTCTACTTTTTTTTTTTGAGCCAGAGTCTCACTCTGTCACTCAGGCTGGAGTGCAGTGGCACGATCTCGGCTCACTGCAACCTCTGCGTCCCAGGTTCAAGAGATTCTCCTTCGTCAGCCTCCTGTGTAGCTGGGATTACAGGTGCCCGCCATCATGCCCAGCTAATTTTTGTATTTTTAGTAGAGACAGACTGAGTTTCTTCATGTTAACCAGGCTGGTCTCGAACTGCTGACCTCAAGCGATCCTTCCGCCTTGGCCTCCCAAGTAGCTGAGACTACAGGCTCAATTCACCACCCTGGCTAGTGTGCCTGTTATCTAGATGAGGCAGCTGAGGCTCAAAGAGGTTAAGCCACTTGCCCTGTGTCACCCAGCTGGGTCTGCAACCCAGGTCCCTGACCAGCCCCTCCCTGTGTTCCCCCCAGCTTCAAGGACTGTATCCCGCTCTCCTTCCGTCGGCAGATCCGGCAGCACAGCGCCCTGACCCGGCTGCGCCTTCGGAACGTCTTCCGCAGGTTCCTGCAGGACTTCCAGCCGGACAGACTCTCCCAGCAGATGGTCATGGTCAAATACCTGGCCACACTCGAACGGCTGGCACCCCGCTTTGGCACAGAGCGTGTGCCCGTGTGCCACCTGAGGCTGCTGGCCCAGGCAGAGGGGGAGCCCTGCTACATCCGGGACAGTGGAGAGGCCCCTACAGACCCTGGCCCTGAGTCTGCTGCTGGACCCCCAACCCATGAGGTGCTGGTGACAGGCACTGGTGGCATCCAGTGGTGGCCAGTACAGGAGGAGGTGAACAAGGAGGAGGTGAGCAAGGCGCCTCTTCCACCCTGGAGGTTCAGGTTGGGCTGGGGTTGGGGGTCTCTGTTCATCCTTGGCCTTGGCCTCTGAGGGTGGCTGACCTGAGCCCTCTCCCCACATGGCTCTGGGGCACCTGTCTGCTGGGGCCAGTTTCTTGGAGAAGGTCCTCCATCTGCTTACCCCTTGGGGACCTTATTTCTGGAGTCTGCACCTCCAGGGAACCCCTTCATCTGGGGACTGGCACCTGAGTGTGAGGGGGTCAGGATTCCGCTCTCTGTCGTCCCTAAGGGTCCGGCTTCCAGCATGTGTATGTTATGGGGTGGGTCCCCATCCCGCCTGTGACACTGGGACTTGGGAGGTCAACCTAGGTTGGTGCCTGGCCCTTCTGGCTCCAGTCTCCCCCCAGGGGAAAGTGCAGAAGTATAAACGGGCATTGCCCTCTCCATCCTCTGCCCCACTTGCGGGGTGTTCAGGGTTCTAGTGGCGGCAGCGGCAGGAACCCCCAAGCCAGCCTGTCTGGGAAGAAGGCCAAGGCTCACAAGGCAATCGGCCAGCCGGCGGACAGGCTGCGGGAGCCACTGTGGGCCTACTTCTGCGACTTCCGGGACATCACCCACGTGGTGCTGAAAGAGTGCTGTGTCAGCATCCACCGGCAGGACAACAAGTGTCTGGTGAGGCCTGGGGAGGGGGCCGGGCTAAGGACCGCCATGGCTTGGGAGGACACTCTCCTGATGCTCCCCTGGCTGGCAGGAGCTGAGCCTGCCTTCCCGGGCTGCGGCGCTGTCCTTCGTGTCGCTGGTGGACGGCTATTTCCGCCTGACGGCCGACTCCAGCCACTACCTGTGCCACGAGGTGGCTCCCCCACGGCTGGTGATGAGCATCCAGGATGGGATCCACGGACCCCTGCTGTGAGTGCTGGATGGGGAGGCACTGGGGGCCACTGCCAAGGCTGCCAACTAGACTGTGAGCCCTAGGGGCTGTGCAGGGTGTGCGTGTGGGTGCACGTCTTTGTCGCTCAAGCTGGAGTGCGGTGGCGTGATCTCAGCTCACTGCAGCCTCCGCCTCCCGGGTTCAAGTGATTCTCCTGCCTCAGCCTCCCAACTGACTACCTGGGACTACAGGCACTCGCCACCACGCCAGGCCAATTTTTGTATTTTTGTAGAGGTGGGGTTTCATCATATTGGCCAGGCTAGTCTCGAACTCCTGACCTCAGGTGATCCACCTGCCTCCACCTCCCAAAGTGCTGGGATTACAGGCGTGAGCCACCACGCCCTGCCGTGACTGTCATGGTGTGTTGAGGTTGTCATTGCACAGAACTGGTGATTTTCACGGGACTGTCGTTACCCTGGTGCTGGTGATCATTCAGCGGTATGTTGGATGCTTCCGCCTCTGCAGGCGGCTGCCCATGCTGGCAACTTGTGAGTCACTGTCTCAGCAGTCCTGTGTGTGACTTGTGGGCCTGAGGGTGTGAAGTTGCCAGTACTTATGGCATCATCAGGTGCAGGGGCGTGTGTGGCTGTCCTTTGTGCTGCCAAGTCGTGATTTGTGGCTGTCTCCTTGTCGGATCACTGCTCCTGTGACTCTGACCCTTGTCCTACTTGTGATACCAGGGGAGGGGGAAGTGGGCATTTCACCTTGTGAGGCCTGTGGCTGTGACAGCTGTCAAGGCTATATGTAGGCCGGGCGCGGTGGCTCAAGCCTGTAATCCCAGCACTTTGGGAGGC